CGCCCCCCCCGCCCGCGCGGCGCCCCCCGCCCCCCCCCCGCCCGCGCGGCGCCCCCCGCCCCCCCCGCCCGCGCGGCGCCCCCCCCCCCCCCGCCCGCGCGGCGCCCCCCGCCCCCCCCCGCCCGCGCGGCGCCCCCCGCCCCCCCCCGCCCGCGCGGCGCCCCCCGCCCCCGCCCGCCAGGCGCCCCGCGGCCTCGGCGTCGGCAGCAGCCCCGGCCCCCGGCCTTCAAGCCCGCGACTCGCTCGGGGGAAGCGCCCAGCCCGCCCCGCAGGGACGCCCCGAAACGCCCCGCGCCAGGGACGAGCTGTCCCCGCGGCGCCCCGCGCGGCCCCCCGCGCCCCCCGCCGACGCCAGCGCCTCTGTGCCCGCCGGGGGCGCGCGGGGGGCTGCGGCCCGGGGAGCGGACCCCGCGTCCAGGCGCGCCCCGCGGAGCCCCCCCCCCGCCCGTCTCCGCCCCTGACCCGCGAGCGCGTCGCGATGGAGCCGGACACGCGGCCGGGTGGGGAGACCGGGGCGCCCCCCGCCCGCCCGCCCGCCGGCCTCTCCCGGGAAGGGGCGCCCTCCTGCGGCCGCGGGGAGCAGCGCGCCCCGGACGCGTCCCCCGCGCCCCGCAGCCTCCCCGAGGGCGGGGTCACAGCACTGGGGCCCCACACAGGGTCACCCCAACCCCTGGCCTTGCCAGGGCGCCCACCGGAGGCACAGCGGGTCCCGGCGCCGGAGGCACCTCCAGGACCGCCCCCCCAGCCTCCCAACCCCCCCAAATCCCCCCCTGCAGCAGGGCAGCTGCTGGCCCCGCTCAGGCCTTGCTCCTGGGGTCCCTCCCCCCCAAAACCCCCAAAGCCGCCCTCCCCTCCCCCACGACCCTGCCCCCCTCGGGACTCAGGAGTCCGGCCCCCTCCGCCGAGGGCCTGTAGCCGGCGGGTGCCGGCCCTGGGGGGGCCCTGGAGGTGGGGGGCCAGGGGCAGCATGTCTGCCCTGAGGCGATGCTGAGGGGCTGCCCCCCCCAGCCCCAGCTCTGGGCGGCTCCCGCCAGCTGCCCCCAGGGTGGGAGCGAGAAGAGACGCGGCCTGTCCGTGGGTCCAGAGCCCAGGGGCCCTGGAGGGTGCCCAGCAGGCCAGGGCCACCAGCCGCCCGGTCAGGGGAGCCCACCGAGCGACAGGAGACAGTGGGGGCCGGGGGGGAAAGTGGGGGGAACAGTGGGGGGCAGGGGCGCAGTGGACAGTGCGGGCGCGGTGGATGACCAGGACACAGGTGGGGGGGCACGGGTGGACGGGGGGCTGGACACAGGAGGGACATGGATGGGCGGGCGGACGGGTGTGAACGGCTGTTTCCCGGCAGGAGCCACGCGGCCCGGGCGGCCCAACTGGGCTTTTAAAAGCCGGACATTCCACGGGGCTCGAGGAGCCCAGACGGCCCGTGGGCGGACGCTCGGCTGGGCGAGACGCATCGACAGTCCCGCGCGAAACACCTGCTTCCACTTAGGAAGGAAGCAGAGGTGGAGAAAAATTTAATTTAGGTTCAGAATTCTCATTTTTAAAGGTTTATTTATTTATGCACACAAGAGCCGGGGTGCAGGCCAGAGGTGGGGGTGAGAGGATCCCCAGAGACAGAGCGGGGGGCAGAACAGGCAGATCCACTGAAAGACACCCCTGAGGGGGGCAGCGGGAGACGGGGGAGGTCTGCTGCGCCCCGTGGGTAGCTCCCTGGCCGGGGATCGGACTCAGGCCGCAGTGGTGCCCGCCTGAGACTGACCCCCAGGGAGGCCCTAGTTTCAGAATTTCTCAAAATACATTGTAAGAATGAAATGAAATTTAGTGTCTGCACAAGGGAAGCTTGAATGCTCCTTCTGTGCTGGAGACAGAAAAACCTCAGGCCCCATTTCTTCTCCCAGTGGCCGTCACTAGTGGCCCCGGCCCGTCCACGCACCAGCACACGCAGCTCAGGGGGCCCCAGTGCAGCCGCCTTCTGCCTCTCGGGCCTTGCTTTGTAATCAAAACTTCCAAAAACCCCTGAAGGGTGAATCAGAGGGGATGGGCGCCCCACGGTGTCCAGCAGGAGGCCGCGGGCCGGCCGTGCCGAGCAGGGCTCAGCGAAGCGGCGCAGAGAGGAAGCCCCGACAGTGAAACCTGGACCCGAGAGTCCAGCTGACCGTGGACAGAAGTCCTGGTAGCCCCTGGACACTGAGGGGTCCCCGCCAGCGGCCTGAAGCCTCTCCTGAGCTGGGCCACGGCGCTGTCCTGACAGGGCGCCAGGGGGCCTGCGGCGGTGTGGACCGGGTGTCGGGAGGCCACGGCCGGCGGGGAGGCCGGGCTGCTGTGCGTCCTCACAGGGCTCCCGCCAGACGCTCGTGAACTTGCTGGGTGTGAGCAGAGAGAAGGCGACGTCTGCCCAGGTGCCCGCGGGGGCGACTGCTTGGCCTCGGACACCATGTGGCGAAGCCTGTTGGAGCCTCCAGGGGCCCGAAGCCACACACAGCTCGCTCCACGGCGCTGAGCTCGCCATGGCCATGGATGGGGTGGGTGAGCCCATTTCCCTGGGGTCTGCGAGGCCACAGCCCATGCAGGGGCTTGGCAGCTCTGTGTCCAGCCCCAGGCCTGTGGTGGGGAGCCATGGACCCCGCCTGCCCAACTTCTGTGGCTCTGGACCTCCCAGAGGGCACCATGAGTCCCCTCAGTCTTTCCGAGGCTGCGGACCCGGGCTGTGTCGGGGTGGACAGGCCACCGTCCTGCTGGGGACAGGCAGCGATGCAGAGGTTGGGCCTGTGGCCTGGAGGGTCCCCATCTGGCCCTGGCCCTTGCTTCCCACCCGGACCTCCATTGCATAGAACCTTCCAGAACCAGGGCCCTCAGCCAGGGAATGGCCGGAATTTCTGCAAAGCCAGGGCTGCAGGGCTTGTGGTCCCGGCCTAGGCCGCCAGCGCCGTGATGGCCAGGTGGGCGGAGACACCAGCTGTCTTTACGCCAGAAAAACTGGGCTCCGTTTGTTGAGCGAGAGTGGACTCCGCTGATCAAACACAACCTGCAGAAACCCCGCGAGTGCCCCTCGGGCACTGACACAGGACAGGCGGGATATGGGGGATGGCCCTGCAGGACTGGCAGGGGGCGCCCCCAGAACAGGCTGGGTGCCGGGGACCTGCCGTCATCCCGCCCCGGGGCAGGCTCCAACCGGACTCGGGCTGGTTGGGAGCAGCAGAACCTCCCAGGCCCTGCCCGGGGTGTGGGGGGAGCGAGGGTCTGTCCAGGCCGCGGAGGCGCTCAGCCTTGGGAAGGAGGGGACCGAGGCCAAGCGGGCTGCGCTGGGCCAGAAGGCAGATGCGGGCCCCTCTCTGCGGGGCCTGGGGTCGCCAGATTTGCAGAGGGGGCTGTTGAGCGGGCAGAGCTGAGTCTGGGGAGATGTGCGCGTTCTCGAGGTGCCGGCTGCTGCACAGTGGGTGGGCGGACGCCACGCGCCTGAGCTCTGCCCTTAAGGACGGCAAAGATGGCCACCCTGACGTCGTGTGTCTCACTGGGATCGGACAGACGCTGGGCGGCGCTCTGGGGCCAGCGGGCGGGCACGGCCTCCCCAGCTAGCCCGCCTGCCTGCCAGGGGCCCAGGAGCACCGGCCGTCAGGAGTGGGGGCTGCTCTCCGGTCGGGCCCCAGGCCTGACAAGCCCCAGCGCTGAGCAGGGGACTCTTATGACAAAGGGGAGCAAAGAGCAAAGTGTGCTCTCGAGTGTCCCCCCCAGGTGCAGTCCTAGGCCTGCTGCCTGCTGCGTCCAGGCCGACGCCCAGGTGGTCCAGCCGGTCCCGAGCTCTCTAGTACTTCGGGACCCTGGCCCAGTGCCCGGCCCCAAAGGGACCCCTGGGTGGAGGGCGCGGCCTCTTCTGCCCTCCAGGCCCAGGACGTTGCCCAGCTGGGGGTCACAGCGGGCCCAGAGCAGGCCCTGTCCCTGAGGCGGCCCCGGCTGTCCGTGCTGGGGCCGGGGTGGCCCTCGCCCTCCTCCCCTGGTCCCTGGGGCCTGCCTGCAGCCCTGGAGCAGCGTGCCCAGCCCCTCTCAGCTGGGGGCGGGGCTCAGCGCCCCTCGCGGCTACGGCGCCCGGCCGCACGGCCAGCAGTGTCGCCACCTCTCCACACAGCGATGCGCCTCAGAACTGAGACTTTTGCCCCAAAGCGTCGTGTCACTTTTTACGCCTGACTTGTCAGCGAAGAACAGTTTCCATCTGGACCGCGCGCGGCACCGACCCCACGCGCGCCGTGCGCTTCCCCAGCAGCGCTCAGTTTAGTGCCCGGGGCCGCCACCCCGCTCTGCCCGCACCTGACACCCAACACCAAGCTGTCCGCCCTTCCCCAGCGGCGCCCCGGCACCCCACACCGCCCGTGCTCCTCTCAGCACGTCAGCACCCCGCTGGGCAGAGCCTGCGCCTGGCCACATCCCAGGGCCCCAGCGCCCTCCCGCCCAGAGCAGGGCCCGGGGCCGCGGGGCAGATGCGGGCCGGCGGGGTCCACAGCCTGTTAGGAAGCAGTTCGTCATGCACACGTTACGGGGAGCTGGGGAGAGTCTTCTAGAGCAAACCACGCTCTGAAGCAGCCAGCGTCTGTGAAGTGAAGAGCCAGTGGACGTGTCAGCGTGGCGGTGTCCTGCCCCAGACCAGCCCCACCCGCGGGCAGGAGCAAGGCTGAGCAGACGACCCCGCCACCTCCCGCGGCTGCGTCAGAAAGAGCCACACGGAGCCAAGAAGGCAGACGGGACTTCAAAAACACAGCGGGAGCGGGACCCCTGGAGAGGTGGGACCGGATGACGGGCCCTGGGTCCCGGCTCGTGGCCCCGGCGCCCAGGGCGGCCAGCGGCAGAGGAAGGGCGGCTGGGCTGCGGGCGACCTGATGAGGAGGGAGCCTGCCCTTCACCACCCCCTGCCGCGGCCCATGACCCAGGTCCCGGGAGCACGCACGCCCGGGAGCGGCACCCACCGGGCAGCTGGCTGGTGCTGACCCGGTGAAGAGAAAGACACGGACCCGCAGGGTCTGGAGAAGCTGCTGGGGTTTAGTGTTGGAGAAGCAGAGTCCAGGGGCTCCCCACGCCCAGGCCTGCCCTGGCGCCCCCCCAGGGGAGGTGGGTGGTCTCGTTACAGGGGGTGGGGGCAGAGGCTGCTACCTAAGAGTGCGCATGGCCAGCTGGCCTGGCCACGCCTGGGGCCACCGTCTGCCGGCCCGGCTAGTGGTGCTGCCCCTTGGTGGGCTTCTTCTTCTTGGACTCCTCCTTGTGCTTCGGCTTCTTCCTCTTGCTCCCTTCTTTGAACCCTAAGGAGACACGGCTGGTGAAACACCGCACACAGCCCCACCGCCGAGGGGCAGGCACGTCCCGGGGGCCCCGATCAGGGAGCTCCATGCCTGGAGCCCCAACAAAATGACCAAGCACCCCCTGTGCGGTGCCTTCAGCATAACCAGGCAGGGGGACACCACCTGCCCTGTGGCCCAGGGCCCTGCCCGCCACTCCCAGGGCCCTGGCGCCCCACGTGGGACCGGGCCCAGCTGGCCCACATGTGCCTCGCCTCCACCCTGCTCTCTGCAGGGAGAAGCCTGCTCACTGGGAGGAGCCACGAGGGGGAGGGCCCGATTTAAGGCAGGGCCGTCCCTGTGCCGCAGGGCACAGAAGCCAGAGGAGGGACCGAGGGCACCTACCCGCCCAGGGACGCGGCCGCAGCAAAGGCGCTGGTGTTCTACGTGAGAACAGCCTCTCGAGACCTTTGTGCTGGCCGCGGGCTCCGAGCTCTCCAGGCCAGGCCTGTGCGTGTGGCCAGGGCATTTAAAGGGCCAGACAAGAACCAGGCCAGCCAGTGCTCAGTGGCCGTGGGGCCTGCTGGACAAAGTCTGAAAACACAGTGCCATTTTGCAAACTGTGGTCTCTGTCCACATGCCTGGACTCGTGGGGAAAATGGAGCCACCACCCACAGTGGGGATTCACTCGCTTTTCGTCCATTAGCTGTCTGGGTGGAGCCAACGTGGGCAGCCAGTTCCCTCCAACAACCACAGCCTGACACGCTCACTAACAGCCATGGTGTGGGTCTGAGGACCCCCCATTCACCAGCGACTCGGCACCAGATGGGTGGCTGGAAGGTTGGCCAGGGCTTGCCGCTGTCAAGGGGCCTGTCCCAGGGACTGCAAGGGGCTCCCCCCACCCAAGGCCCAGAGGCACCACCTCCGAGTCTAACAGGAGACCAGGGGCTAACGGCACGTCTCCCGGAAGGGTGCCTGGGACACATGTGCCTGAGCACAAGCTTGGGGTCACTTGCCCAGGACAACTCGCCTAAGGTGCACTCCCAGGAACACACAGGTCAGACACCTGCCCACAGTGCCAGCTGGGGGCAGCTCCAGGCCAAGCAGCCAAGACCCTGGGCCACCACAGACCAGAGGCAGGAAAAGCCCAGCCCCCAGACGTGACAGGAGTGTCCGACTCCGCTGTGATGACAGGCAGCGATGCTGCCGTGTCCCCGGAGGAGGCTCCACCCTGCGGGCAGTACAGGTGCAGGTGTGGGCACAGGTGCATGTGCAGGTGTGGGCACAGGTGCAGGTCAGGTGTGAGTGTGGTGCAGGCAGAGGCAGGCACAGCGGGTCCTGGAAGGTCTACCTGGGCTCACAGGCACGGTGAGGGCCGGGTCCTGGGCCCCGTTCTGCCCCGCTGCGCTGCCAACGGCATCCTGGCCTCTGCCTCCCTGCAGCTGCCACTGGCAAAGGCCCGACCCCCACCCTCTCTCCATCAAACAGTAGCACGAGCCCCAACGAGCAGCAGAGAAGGGCCCCAGCCCCGGACAATGGCCTGGCAGCCCCAGCCCCAGGCAACAGCCGGGACCGCCAGCCAGCTGTGCTCTCTCAGGAGGCCAGGGCTGCAGGGCAGGAGCGACCGCGCCTCCTGTGGGGGGCAGCTGAGCCCTACAGCCGCCGCCTTGCCCTACCCCCTCCTGCCCAGGACAGAGCGGGGCAGCCCCCTCCTCAGGCCCAGCACTGGGGGCCCAGAGCAGGCGGGGCTGGCACCTCACTCCCGGCTCTTCTGCTGACGCCCCTGCCCCAGGGTGGGCTTTCCGGGCACACGGGAGCGCCTCGGACACGGGGAGGGCACCACGCGGGTGAGCCCGTGGCTCCCGCCCTAAAGGTCCCCCCTCAGACGGCTGCCGTGGGGGACAGGTGTGTCCTCGGAGGCAGTTCCCGCGGCCTGGCTGGCAGCCTCGGCCCCAGCCCCAACAGGCCCTGCCAGGGCTGGGTCCGCGTCACGGCCTCGCACCAGTGGGGGGGGGGGGGCAGGGAGGGGGCGCCGGGAGCTGAGCTGCCCCCCAGGGCACCGCCTGGCCCGCTGGACACGAATGCTCCCCAAACACACCAAAGTCACTTTGGGTCACAGAACTCGGGGGGTCAGGGCACCACCATGCACAGACCTCCCCACCACACGCCTCATGCCCGCGGGCCACGCCCAAGCCCCCGCCAGGCAAGCCCAGCACCCACCGGCCACGGCCTGCACCCACTAGTCACGCCCAAGCCCCGCTGGCCTCGCCCCGCACCCACCGGCCTCACTAAGCCCCTCTGGCCACGCCCCGCACCCACAGGCCACGCCCAAGCCCCGCTGGCCACGCCCCACACCCACCGGCCACGCCCAAGCCCCTCTGGCCACGCCCCGCACCCACAGGCCACGCCCAGAAGCCTTGCTATGCCCCCTGGCCACGCCCCACACTCACAGGCCAAGCCCAAGCCCCTCTGGCCACGCCCCGCACCACAGGCCACGCCCAGCAGCCTTGCTAAGCCCTCCTGGCCACGCCCCACACCCACAGGCCACGCCCAGCAGCCTTGCTATGCCCCCTGGCCACGCCCCACACTCACAGGCCACGCCCAAGCCCCTCTGGCCACGCCCCGTACCACAGGCCACGCCCAGCAGCCTTGCTAAGCCCCCTGGCCACGCCCCACACCCACAGGCCACGCCCAGCAGCCTCGCTAAGCCCCTCTGGCCACGCCCAAGCCCCACTGGCCCCGCCCCGCCCGCCCCCTCGGAGGCCGCGGGGCGCCGCGGGCAGAAGCGCACGGGGAGCCCCGAGACAACACACTGCGGCTTCGGAGACCGGCACCCACTTTAATTGCGGGGCCCGGCGGGGCCTGGCCCTCAGCTCAGGGCGCAGCAGCACAGCGGCGCGGGCCGGCGCGGGGTCCCCCGGGGGGCGGCGGCGCCTCGGCCTCGGGGGGCGCGGCGGGGGGGGCGGCCCCGGGGCGCGGCCCCGCCCCCGTTCCCCGGCTCGCACCTGCGGGCGGCGCGGCGGGGTCCCAGCCGCCGGGGGCGCGCGGCCGGGCCGGCTCGTCGTCGTCGTCGTCGTCCGCGGGGTGCAGCGCGGGGGGCGGCGCGGGGGCCCGCGCGGGCGGGGCGGGCCGGGGGGCGCGCGGCGGGCGGGCGCCGGCGGGCGGGGCGGCGGGCGGGGCGGCGGGCAGCGCGCTCTGGCCTCTTCGCCGGGTCTCCTCCAGGAAGGCCTCGGGGTCCGCCACACCTGCAAGACAGGGCGTCACCGGGGGCCGGTCGGGGCGCGGGGCGCGGGGACACGGCCTCGGGGCGCGGGGACACGGCCTCCGGGGCGCGGGGGACACGGCCTCCGGGGCGCGGGGGACACGGCCTGCGGGGCGCGGGGGACACGGCCTGCGGGGCGCGGGGGACACGGCCTGCGGGGCGCGGGGACACGGCCTCCGGGGCGCGGGGACACGGCCTGCGGGGCGCGGGGGACACGGCCTGCGGGGCGCGGGGGACACGGCCTCCGGGGCGCGGGGACACGGCCTGCGGGGCGCGGGGGACACGGCCTGCGGGGCGCGGGGGACACGGCCTGCGGGGCGCGGGGGACACGGCCTCCCGGGTGCGGGGACACGGCCTCCGGGGCGCGGGGGACACGGCCTCCGGGGCGCGGGGGACACGGCCTGCGGGGCGCGGGGGACACGGCCTGCGGGGCGCGGGGGACACGGCCTGCGGGGCGCAGGGACACGGCCTCCGGGGCGCGGGGACACGGCCTCCCGGGTGCGGGGACACGGCCTCCGGGGCGCAGGGACACGGCCTCCGGGGCGCGGGGACACGGCCTGCGGGGCACGGGGGACACGGCCTGCGGGGCGCGGGGGACACGGCCTCCCGGGTGCGGGGACACGGCCTCCGGGGCGCGGGGGACACGGCCTCCGGGGCGCGGGGGACACGGCCTGCGGGGCACGGGGGACACGGCCTCCGGGGCACGGGGGACACGGCCTGCGGGGCGCGGGGGACACGGCCTCCCGGGTGCGGGGACATGGCCTCCGGGGCGCGGGGGACACGGCCTCCAGGGCGCGGGGGACACGGCCTCCCGGGTGCGGGGACACGGCCTGCGGGGCGCGGGGGACACGGCCTCCCGGGTGCGGGGACACGGCCTCCGGGGCGCGGGGGACACGGCCTCCGGGGCCGCGGCCCACCAGGGCTCTGCAGGTGCCACCCAGGACGGGGCCGCTAGGGGGTGGCGCGGCTCACGCAGCCCCACACACAGCGGCCACCCCGGGGCGTCTCCGCGGGTGTGAGGAACACGGGCTCGTGGGGCCTCCCCGGGGCGCGGGGTGAGCTCAGCCTGTGGAGCTGTCCCCAGCCTCTGCCCCACAAGTCCATCCCCGGCCGGCCAGGGAGCTACCCACACGGCGCGGGAGCCTCTCCCGTCTCCCGCTGCCCCTCGGCGGTGGTTTCAGGCCGTCTGCCTGTTCCGCTCCCGGCTGTCTCCGGGGAGTCCTCTCACCCCCCCACCTCTGGCCTGCACCCCAGCTCTTGCATGCATGAAAAATCCTTTAAAAAAAAAAAAGAGCACGTGTTCCCCCAGCAGGATGCTTCTTATTTGGCCCCTGACATGGGGGGTGCCCTGGAAAACTAAGCTGAGGAGCACGGGCAAGCACTGCACCCCCCGCCCCCGCCCCATGGGCCCCCGAGGGGAGCGGAGGGGAGCGCGGAGCGAGCGGGAGCTCTCCTGACTGGCCCCGGCATTGCCCAGCCCGGCCTGCCTGTGGGGAAAGCCACTCCAGGGAAGGCCGGGGCGGGAGCCCCCGTCCAAGCTAAGACTCCAGAGGTCATGCTGTGGCTCCTGCTCCCGCAGCTGGACGCGCCCGCGGCAAGACCAGCTCCTGTCTGGACCCACAACCCGGGAGCAAAGAGCAAAGGCCAGACAGGTGTGCGGGGGTGGGGGCGGGGGCTGCCCCGGGACCCCGCCTCAGGGCTGCAGGCCTCAGGTCCAGGGCCGGCACCAGGAGCTGATGGTGCTGAGTGGCTGTGGGCAGCCCGCCGGGCAAGTGGCCACGGGTGGCCTCCCCCAGGGCGAGGCAGCCCCACCGCGCAGATAGCAGGTCCTGGGAGCCGGCGGCGCCCTCTGCAGGGGTCAGGGCAGGAGGGCGCCTAAGGGGTCCGCGGGGCAGGCCAGCCCAGGCCCAGGGGCACCGCGGGTCGCGTCAGCACGGAGCCAGCGTCTCCCAGTGCTGGGCAACGGCAGGGCGCGGAGCTGGGCGGAGCTGAGCGCAGGTCGGCCTCGGGAGGCGAGGCGGAGGGCAGCAGAGGCCGCCGCGACCGTGCCGGGCCCAGACAGACCAGCCTGTCAGCACAGCCCGAGGGTCACCCCCCCAACGCCCGCGCCCCGGGGCAGAGCTGGCCCGCGGAGGCCCAGCACTGACTGGTCACTGGCCCCCCGGCTGGGAGAACCAGAAGCCCTGACACAGACATGTGCGCGGTGAGGGGCAGGGCAGGCCCGGCCAGCGGGGGCCTGGAGAGCGTGGGGGCGCTCAGGTGAGGGAGGCAAGGCCCCAACACCAGCCCCAGGCCTCAGGCGCTGGGCTGTGTGGGCAGCGCCCACGCTCGGCTCCTCACCTCCCCAACAGGGCGGGGCACCCGAGGCGCAGCGGCTCTGCGTGGGCGGGCAGGCGGGAGGGACCCCAGACACCCCCCGTAGGCCTGTACACCCCTGCGGGCCCGAGACCCCCCACTATGGGCCTGGATACCCCCATGGGCCTGGAGCCCCCACCGTGGGCCAGAGGGCACCCTACGGCCTCCGTCCCGCTCAGGCTGGGGTTGGCTCACGCGTCCGAAGCCCACCAGGGGGCACGTCTCCGGGGCGCTCCGGTGCAGCGCTCGGCCACGCAGGCGAGTGTCCGGCTAAGAAAGGCCGGCCTGGGACACGGGGCGCGGTCAGCTCTGCCCGCACGGCCCCGCCTGCCCCCGGAGGCGCAGCCACACTAGCTCTCGGCCCCCAGCCCGGCTGCAGTTTAGAGAACAGCCCCCAGGAGGCTGCACTTGGCGTCTGAAGAAAACACCAAAAACAGAAAACCGGTCCAGCAGAGCCGGGCGCCGGCCCCGCTGTCCCCACACTCCAGCGGGCACCGTGGGGGGCACCGGGCTTCTCTCCTCAGGGGCCCGTGGTCAGCTCCACCCCGGCCGCTCACCTGCCCACACGCCTTCTGGCCCCGGCTCCCGGGAGCTTCCCCTCCCAGCCCACGCTGGGCTCGCAGCGGGAGGGGCCGGGGAGCCGATGCCGGAGTCCGCCATGAACCCTCTCAGCAGGAGGACCCGGCTGGCGCGGGCGCCTGGGTCGCTGCCCTGCGCGCCACGGCAGGCCCTCGAGGAGGACATGTGACCGTGACGGCCTGGTCTGCGGGACCCGCCCCCCCGCAAGTCGCCCAGGGAACTTCAGTGTCTCGAGCAGCAGGAAAGACAGGGAAGGAGATGGGGGGTCAGACCCCCTGGCCCCGCTGTCCGGGTTGCGTCTCTGGGGGCGGCCACCACCCTCGAGCGCCCTGCGCCAGTGGCACCGACACCATGTGGCCTCGGCTGGGAAGGGCCCCAATGCCAGCCGCTCGCCCCACCCGCGCCGTGGGCTCGGAGCCCCAAGAGAGCAGGCGCCAGGAGCGGCCGGACTCAGCGAGGGGGACGGCCCCAGCGGTGCCACCGCACCACGCCGCTGGCCCGGGGATGCAGGCCTCGTCCTGCCAGCTGGGCAGATGGCCGCGAACGGGCCCCGGGGCATCTGCTGAGAGGGGGCCCTCTGCGGCCGTGGGCAAAGCCTCTCCTCGTGGGACGGGGGAAGGGGTGCTGGAAATGTCCCCCCCACACCCTCGTAGCACTGAGTACCTGGCCACCACGCACCCCAAAGCCTGGACGGCCGGGTCCCAAGGAGGCGGGGGGCAAAGGAATCTGCTTTGGCTCCGGACCGAGCCCAGCCCCTCACAATGGAGAAAAGCAGCAGCCGTGGGGCAGGGGCAGGAAGCCGCCTTCACGCGGCCCCGCTGGCCCCCCGGCCCCGGCCCGGCCTCAGGCAGGACAGCGGCCAGCGCCTGGGGCAGTGCAGGCCGCCCTCGGTGCTGCCCTGTCTCGCCTCGGCCCAATGCACACTGGGGACACGGCACCCCCGAGGGCCTTCAGACTGGGCGGTGGCAGGGGGTGAGGGGGCGCCCCAGTGGGGACTCCTGCCCAGAGGGGAGCGCCCCTCAGATGCCAGACTCGGACCACTCAGCTAGGAGGCCCTCCTGGAGGACGCGGCCCTGGCTCGCTGGTCAGCTTTGCCCCGCTGGCCGCCGGGACCGGGGAGCTGCAGCGGAATGGGCGGAGGGACCACAGGCCAAAGCCCAAAGCCCGCAGTGGCCGCCCCCAGCAGCCCGGACAGCCCCGCCAAGGCACGAGCCCAGTCTACCGCGCGGGGCAGGCCCACCGTCCGGACAGCAGCCTCCCCGGGGGGCACGTCCAGGAGGGGCGCTGGGGGCAGAGCGCAGCACCGGCGCATAGGGCAAGGACCCCCCCAGGAGACCCGGGCCTGAGCCGCAGCGGAGCCCGCGCCGAGGGGCGCACCGCAGCCCGATGGGATAAACGGCCGTTTCATGGGACACAGACCCTGCGCAGGCACCCCGCTCCGTGCCACCCCCGGGGACCCCCCTTGAGCCTGACACCAGCCGCGTCCTCCACGTGCAACCTCCGGGCTCCCTGGGGGCGGCCCCGCCACTCCTCCCTGGACAGGGCAGCGGAGCCCAGGACCTGGGCGGGGGAGCGATGCTATGGGACCGGAAGTGGCCGGCGCTGCCCATGAGAGGCCCCGCCCCCCGGGGGTTCTCTGCTGCCCGCTGGCAACCACCTGCCCAGACCAAGTCTTTGTCGCGTCCCAGGGTGCAGTGACCAAGCCCAGCTGAATGGGTGGCACTGAGTGGGAAGGCCGCCCACCTGCCTGCGCCCACTGCCCGGCCTGGCCCAGGAGGCCCTGGGCACCAGGCCCCGCGGGCCCCGGGTACTCGGCACCCCCACAGGCTCGCAGGTGTGGGTGCAGTCCCGGGAGGGGCAGAGCCGCTGTTTCAGGAGGCAGCCCTGACGCGGAGCGGAACGTGGGGGCTCCGGGCTGCAGGCACCAGCCGGGGCACACGCTGGGGACGGAGACCACCAGGGGCCGACCGGATATGGAACTGAGAGGCCGCTGCCCAGACAGGCCCTGCAGCAGGACCGGGTGACCCAGCCCGCAGGCCAGGCCCCCGGCTTGCAGCAGCCAATCACGCGCAAGCACACCAGCCTGCGGGCAGCGGGGGAGCGCGGTGGAGTCGAGCGAGCGTCGTCAGGGTCAGAGCGAGCCAGAAAGCGGTGTGGGGGCCTGGCCCGGGGCGGGGGGGGGGGGGGGCCGCTGCAGTCCAGGCTCCTGAGACCGAACCCCTGGAGTGCAAGATCTCCCGAAGAGACTGCAGCCACACGCCCCGCGGAGAATCTGGGAGAGCCCAGCCTCAGCACAGACACTCCAAGGAGATCAGAGACTCAGGCGTGAAAAGTTGCAGAGAATCAGAAAGCGCCCCCGGGGCCGAGCCACACAGCCCCAGGCGCTGGCCCCGAGCCCCAGGCGCCACAGCCAGCTGCGGGGCCGGCCCCCAGGACAGCGCCAGCCCCTTCCCGCCCGACAGGCGCCTTCTTCTCGGCCCAGCTCCGCAGCGTCTAGGGCACCCCGTGGACCAGCGGCCTCTGCGCGAGAACCCGCCTGACCCCAGCCTGACCCCAGCCACAGGTGCAGAGGCCTCCTGCCCCCCACCGGGCGCGTGGGGGAGGGGGGTCGAGACGGGCCAAGTTCCAGTCCCCACAGCACGAAGCATTCGCGAGCACCCCCCAACCCGCGGCCCGCGACAGCGAGCGTTTGAGACGGTTCTCTGGCGGCACGGCCTCCGCCCATCCGCTGCCCCGGGCCGGCACGCGCCGCCTGCCAGCCTGGCCCGGGGCGCGCGTGGAGGACGGGCACGGTCTCATGCCGCACACGACGACCTCAGAAGAGCCACGGCCACCTCAGCCATGAAAGTAAGAAAGTTGGGGCAACTGTCTCGGGGGAAGGCTCTCACCCCCGCCACCTCGGGCCGGGGCCCGCACGCCAGCTCCTGCCTGCACAAGTAAAGAGTAAATGGAAAAAAAGTTGGGGGGAAACAAAGGGGCAGCCTCACGCGGGCCGCACACCCGAGCCCCGCGGCCCCGCTGGCGAGGCGCGCGGGGAGCGGAGCACCAGGACACCCCGGGCTCCGGCCGCAGGACAAGGGGAGCACACGCCCGACGCGGGGAGGGCGGGTGCGGAGTCCACCCGCGCCCGCGGGGCTGGGCCATGCGGATCTGCGCGGCGGCTCATGGAGCCAGCACTGCCGCCGGCGGGCCGCTGCCCGAGCTGCACAGCAGCCCGGGGGGGGGGGGGGGGGCCATGGGGCCAAGGCACCGGGACAAGCTGGGCGCCGGGCACGGGCTCGGGGCACACGGGGGCTCCTTGACACCCACAGGAGACGCCTGCGCCACGCGCCAGGACGCAGCAGGGATGAGGCCTCCTGCCCGAGGCCCACAGCAGGGTGGCCGGGCCCCAGAGGGGTCTTCGGAAGACCCCGAAGGGCAACAAACTCAGGCCTGTGCGCACCTGACTGGGCCTCGACCCAGCGATGGCGTCCTCGGCACAAATGGACCGAACCACCCCGGGCCTGAGACCTGCAGAAACGGCAGCCACGACGCCCGCCCCATTCCTGGATGGGCCAGTGGCGTCAAAGCAGCTGCGCAGCGACCGCAGAGGGCACCCCAGCCGAGTCCGGAGCCCCGCGGGCCCCTGCGCACGAGAAACACGACCGCGTGAACCGAGCGCGTCCCGAGGAGGGTGCGCGCGGCCAGTCAGGCGGCTCTCCAGGTCCAGTCTGGAAGGTGCCGGCCAAGACGCGGCCCCCAGGGGTCCTCGCCCCCAAGGAACCAGCCGACTAGACAGGGCCTGGCCAGCGGCGGCGGCGCCGCCGCCCAGACCACCGCCTCGGGCCCGCCCTGCACCGGCCCCACCGCAGGGAGCGCCAGAGCTGAGCTGATCAGCCCAACGGGGCGGTGGGGGGCAGACCAGCAGACGGGGCTCCGGGCAGGGCTCCAGATGTCCAATCTCCCCCCGCCACCATCTCCTTCCAGGGGACTGACACGCCCCCAGCCCGGGTGCCCCGGACCCACACTCCGCTTCCGGCATAAGAGTGAACAGAAAGCAAGTTTAGGGGGCGACTTCTGGAGCCCGGAACACCCATGAAACGCTCATGCTGCCAGCTGCCAGCTCAAAGGCGCCCTCTCGCCAAGGCAGCGCTCGCTCGTGCACCTGCTCTCCCCTCAGGACGCCCACCCAAGGGCATCACATCAGCCAGCAGGCCGTCCACAGCTGGAGCCCCCTCCAACCCTTTCCAGCCCTGCCCCCGGGGCCCCGTGCGATACCCCCTGGAAAGAAGCCAAGGGGCAGGGGAAGACACTGGCACCCCGGCCCGCTCCACAGGACGCCCTCCACGAGGCGATAGCTCAGGGTCCTTGTCAGGACAAGGGCGCGGTGCCCTCCCTGCCGCGTGCGGGCAATCACGGGGCTGCCCGATACCCCCGCCCGAGGGCCCACAGCGCCGGCAGGTCTGGGAGCGTGTCCACGGCTTCCCGTACTGGGTTCTGGCACTCCTGGTCGCACCCTGTGAGGCTCAGCAACGCCCGCTCCTTGGGGTCCCCACCCCCGTCTATCCGGACAGGAAGGCACAGGGAGGGGCACCCCAGCTCGCCAACGAAATCCTCCTGCCCGCCCCCCAGCACTTCCCCGGGGCCGTCCCCGTGGCCGGAGGGCTGCGGCAGCACACGCCGTCCTCGGCCACCGCGCAGCGGCGCAGAAGGGCCAGGCGCTCACTCAGGGGGACGGGGCCGGCCATCGTCCCTCGCGCGCTCCGTGACGTGCGACGGCGGAGCCCCGGTGGCCGGGCCTGGACGCGCCAGGCCTCCAGGACTCGCAGCGAGGCGGGCCCGGCCGGCGTGCAGGCGGGCGGGGCGGGCACAGAGTCACAGGCACACGCGCGGGAGCCGCACGGCCCGCCGGGAAAGAATGCACCAAACACATTCGCGTTTATTTTTTTTTAAGCAAATGACAAAGACCCAGTTTACCAACTTTTTAAACCTAAGCTTAACATCACATGTTTAAACAATTGTCCAAACGAAACCGCCAGCGTTCATGCACAACTAGAAAACATCCTCCGTGCGGAGAACCCGGAAATGTGTCACCGTTAACGTGTTAATATCTAAACACTGAGAAAAACCGCAACCACCCTGGGGGCGAGCCCCGGGCAGCGTCACGTCACAGCAGGCGCCACGGCTGGGCCACGTTTCACACACAATGGGAAGCAGGTCCGTGCTGGTGTTAGTGTACGAAAGAGTCACGGCCACTTTGGATTACGTTTAATAAAAAAGCAAAGTGCATACAGAGATTTACAACAATCTTAAAGACAAAATAATGGTCCTACGACGTGGTCCCGACAATAAACTCAAAAGTCTATGTCCAGCGGCAGCCCCGGCGAGCCGTCCGTGAACACTCGGGTTAGGTGCGGGGGCGCGGAAGCGGCTCGTCGGGGCTCTTCCGGACACCGCTCCTGCGGCTCGGCGGGCGGCGGCTACTTGCTATCCAAGCGCAGCAGCTGCTCCTTACCGTTCACCGTCAGGGACTTGAGCTGGCCGTCCTCCTCCACCTCCACCCGCTCCTGGCCGTTCTCCACGATCCTGCGGGCAAAGTCCCCGTCAGACAACCGGCCTGAAGCGACCACACAGGCGGTGCGCGTGCCGTGGAAAGGACGTGGCTCCCCGCTCTGACGCCACGCGCGGAGGAGCCGCTCCACAGCTGCCGGGCGCTGTCCCCGGAGCGCACACGGCACGCGGCGTCACACACGCCTGGAGTCGGCTGTGCGCAAGACTGTCCCCCCCCCCCGCGGCATCAAGCGCGGGCCGGGGACAAGGCCGCGGTCACAGCCCCGCCCGCCCGCCCACACCCCACGGCCGCAGGGGTTGCCGCCAGCGCCTGAAGCGCGGGGGCGCGGTACCTCTTGGTGGTGATCTTCCTTCCGTTGACGATCTTGGTGGATGTTGATATGGACTTGAAGGAGCCCATCCCGCTGCCACCGAACGCCGTGGATGAGAAGGACGTGAGGCCCCCGTGGCCCAGGGAGCCGAAGGAGCTGAACCCTGCGGGACAGAGCGCACGGTCAGACCCGCCCGCCGCGGCCGCTGGAGCAAGCGCGTCCCAAGACCGCTCCGAAGTGGGCTGGAGCCAGGACCAGGCACCACGTCCAGGGAGGCGATCTCCGCTGACCCTCTGCAAGCGGAGGGCCCGCAGTCTGCGGGGCGCTCGCACACCCCGGCCTCCACAACCCGCACAGCGAGCCCCCCAGGGTGCGTGGCGGCTCCAGAACAGGCACATGAAACCAGCGCTCACTCTCCGCTGCGCCCTGATGGGCTCCACGGACATGGAGGGAGCCAGACCCGCTTCCCACGCCCCACGACCCCACATTCCCCGGGACGCTGCAGGCCGAGCGGCCGGCGCACGCAGACACTGCTGGCAGCAGGCAGTGTGGAAGCATAAGGCGCTGTGGCCGCGCGTGTCCAGTCCGTGAGCCCAGGGTCTCCCGACAAGGTTCTCTTGTTGTGTCTCCAACCAGCTCTGCTCGCCTCTCCCGCCAGCGGCCCCCCTTCAGCGGGGGCCGTGGCATCTGAGGGCTGTGCTGGGGGACACCACCTCAGAAACTGCCCTGCACTGCGGGCCGATCAAGGGGCGAGGACAGGGGTGTGGGGACACACCAGAAGGGGTGTGGTGCTCGACCCTCCATCACCGTGTTTCTCCGGTGCGAGAGTCCAAGGCTGGACTGCTTCCAGAAGGCCGGCCACACCAGGGAGGGTGCCCGGGGCTGCTGCAGCCCAACACCACAGCCTGTGCCCGCGCCAGACCGGCTGCCAGGAGGGGGGCTGCCTCAGGGTCCCCCCCGCGCCGAGCAGCACACTCGCCCAGCTGGCGCTGTGGGAAGGGACACGTGGCAGCAGTGAGCGGGGAAGCGGGTCTCCGGGCACAGCGCTCACCCGGGGGGTGGGAAGCGCAGGCCGCTCGGCAGAGGTCTCTGCCCGGACCGAGGGCCGGCTGAGCGGCGCGACCTCTGCGCAGTGAAGCCAGAACGCGGGGTCAGTACCTGTGTCAAAAGAAGGAAATCCGCCTCCGAAAGCTGGAAACCCTCCGAAAGCAGAGAAGAACGAGCCCGTGCCCCGGCTCCTGCTCCCACGGGGGCCCCGACGATTCCCAAAGAAATCTTCGAATGGGTCCTCTAGAAACAAACGGAGGCACCGAGTCATCGTCACGCGCGTCTGCTTCCCGAGGAGGCCGGGCTGAAGCCTGGTCGAGCCGCGTCCCTTCAGAAACGGCAGCCTTCCCGCAGTCACGCCCGGGGGCGCCCAGCTGTCTGAAAGCTCAGGGAGAGTCCAGGGCCTCCAACTCGGCCGCTCCTGGAAGCCCTGGCAGACGGCGCCCCCGAGGCTGTCCCGGGGCTGCCGGGAAGGTGCAAAGCCCCACAGCAGGGAAGTTTGGCCCCAGACCTGCACGGACGCCTCTTGCGATCCACACGGCTGATGTCAACACGCAACCCGTGAAGCTGTCCCAGCCTCTGCGGCACGTGCTCCACCCCCGGCCGCCCAGGGAGCTCCCACCTGGCGCAGCAGACCCTCCTGTCTCCCCGCTGCTCCCCTCAGCCCTGGATTTCAGTGGATCCGCCTGTTCTGTCCCCCACTGTCTCTGGGGTATCCTCTCACCACCCCCCCGCATCTCTGGCCTGTACCCCACCCAGCTCTTGTGTGCATAAATAAATCAAATCTTTAAAAAAACTAAAAAAAAAAAAAAAGCGAGGCCGGCCCGTGGCCGGGTGGCGGCCAAGAGCCCCGGCCCACATAGCTGCCAGCAGCCGCGCTCCCCAGGCCAGCAGGAACCCACGAGCGTGGCAACAACGCTCCCAGGCAGGCGCCACGGGAGGGGGAGCAGCAGCCCCGTCCGGGAAGCAGCAAGACCCAGCACCCCGGCTCCGGGTCACCAGCGGGCGCCCGCCCAGCCCCGCGGGCACGGCCGGGGCAGTGCCGCCTGCGCCGCGTGTATTTTTCCTTTTCCGACCTTTCAAAAGGCTTGTTTGTCCGTGGATGCTTGTCATCTAGTGACAGCTTCAGGTACTCGCGGAGACCTGGCAGAATTTGAACACAAGAGGTGACAAAAGTCGGCCTCCCGGGGGCGCAGGGGCTGAGTCTCAGCCTGTCAAGCCGTCTGCAGCCCCCGTGGCCTGAGCTGGACCCCCGGCCGGGGCGCAGCGGACCTCTCCTGTCTCCCCACCGCGCCCCTCGGCAGTGGATCTGCCTGTTCTGCTCCCCGCTGTCTCGGGGGGGGGGTCCCCCCCCTCACCTCTGGCCCTTAGGAAGAAATGTTATTATCACGTAAGTTTCCTGCACGCTTGCGGCCAGCACAGAAGCCTGAGGGTCCAGGGGAACATGTAATCAGAGGAAGGGGGTGCCCGCCGCTGCCACTGCTTACTCCCGGCTTGCCCGGCAGCAGGGACACGGGCGGAAATGCGCCTCCCAGCAAGTGCGGACAGCGCCGCGGGCATTTCTGACACACTGCACGCGGCCTTTCGGCTTCAGAGCCCGCCGCCCTGCAGCCCGAGCGTGCCGGGGAGCCGAGACGCGGACGAGACCAGAACGACACACTCCCACGACGGGCCCTTACAACACGGCCGCCCACGCGTTCAGGAGCGGGAAACCACCCGCGCAGCAGGGACAGCGTCAACACCAACAGGAGCCAATCCACAGCACAGCCCGAGCGCCGGGCACGCCTGGGGGGCGGGCGAGGAGCACCTGCCCCTGGCGGGCCAGTGCCCGGCACCCCTGCGCTGACAGCAAGCGCGCGGAAAGCCTCGGCCCACAAGCGCACAGCACCCCGCGCCACGAAACGTGCCTCCGGTGACACCGGGGAGCTGCACGCGCACACGCCTCTCCCCGCCAAGGACCCGCAGCAGAGCCTGGATCCAAATCCTCCGAAAGAGGCCGTGCCCAGCTGGGGCCTCAGAAAGGCATCCCGCGGTGGCAACAGCGCCAGGTGGGCCGGGGTGCCGCGCCCCCGCCTCTTGCCGCTATCATCACCTGCCTGGCCGCCCCTCCCGCGGCTGCCCGGCCTGGTGAGGGAGCCGGACACACTCCCCTGAGGGGGCGCGCCTGCTGCAGGGGCCAAGGCCCTCCGAAGGAGGTACGGAGGGCGAGGCCCACGGTGCCAGGACCCAGCACAGCCCCCCGGCCACCGGCCGGGTAAGGGCCGCTGAGGGCTCCCGGAGCTCCAGGTGCCCGTTCCTGGGCGCCAGCTGGGGGGCGGGAGCACCAAGCCCATCGCGCCCGGGACGACCCTTCGCATCACAGCCGGAACGGCGGAGAATCACTCGCGAAGCCGCCACCGCCATTTACCAGCCCGGGCCTTAGATGACGCCAGCGCCACGTCCCAGAAGTTCTCCAACGGTGCCCACACCGGAGGCTCTCCAGGAAAACCTGGCCGGCGCGCCTCCCGCCCTGCCCCGACGCGGTACTCACATGCCCACTGCTCCAGGGCCGCGCAGGCTCACGACACGCCCGGCCCCCTGGCTCTGGCGTCTCCGGGCCGCCCGCGGCTCCTCAGCAAGGTGGCTGCTGCGGGCGCACGTGGGGCTGCGCCCCGTCACGCCTAACTGCCCAGCGCCCGGTTCTAACTGCCGCTTCCTCTCAGAACGTCTACGCTCTTAGGAACGCTCCTCTTCCCGTTACAAACCTGCTGCTTCTAAGAAACCTGCTGCTTCCCCTCAGACAGGCTGTGGCGAGCGCGACGGCCGTGGAGGCCTGGCCCCCCGGCCGCTGGCTGCGTGGCGGGAACAAGGTCTTCGAGGTTGATCTGGTTAAGGGCCCGCGGGGGCGGGACCTAACCCAGTCTCCCGAGAGGGACAGTGGGCAGACGGGCCCGCAGGGGCCAGCAATGCACGGCCCAGGCCACCATGGGCCTCACCACAGCGCGCGCCGCGCCCGCCGCCCGCTCGCGCCAGGTGGGCTCCCGCAGAGGGCACACGGCCAGAGTCTGGTGTGGCCAGGACACCGCAGCCCCGCGTCTCTCAGGCACCTCTGACCAAGCACAGCCTGAGCCAGGGGAGAACAAACTCTTTATTCCGACGCCGCGCAGGGGGGCTGTGCCCAGACAGGTCTCGGGCCCCCCCGTGGGGCCAGCAGCACCCGGGCTCCTGCCCGCCGGGCTCCTCCTCACTCAGCAGCTCCTCGCAGTCCTCGCTGAGCCCGTCCCCGTCCCCCAGGCTGGCCCCGTCCTCGCTGGACACCCCCTCCAGCTCCTCGCTGGGGGGCTCGCCCTGGCCCTGGCTACCGGCCTCGCTCGGCTCGTCCTCACTGAACAGCTCGAGCTCCTCGCTGGACACCACGCCCGGCGCCTCGCTGCTCGCCTCGCTCGGGCTGTCCTCACAGCCGGGCTGCTCTAGCTCCTCACCCGGCTCCAGGTCCTCGCCGGCCACCTCCTCCAAGCCTGAGGAGCAAAGCAACCGGCTCACGGGGGGCTGAGACGGGCCGAGACGGCGCCGGCGCCTGCGCCTCCTCCGGCCGGCTGCCGTCCCTGCGTCTGCACCGCGACTCCGCCGCAAGGCCCTGTTCCCTCACGGCGGCCTCCAAGGCAAGAGCCCCGTGAAGGGAACCCAGGCCCCAGCGAGGAGGCCCTGGGCGAGCGCCCCGGGACACGAGGGCTGCCCCGCGCGGCCCCGTGTGAGCACAGCCTCCGCTCCCTGATTTTTCCAACCAACTTTCCTCCAAAAGCTGGTTCCGTCCGCCTGGCTCATTAAAGAACTTTGGCTCAGCGGGCCTCACGGATCTCCCGTGAGTGGGCAAACGGCCCGGCCCTCCCTCCAGGGCCACATGCAGTGCTGGGCAGAGGGCCTCCCTGGACACCCTCTCTGGGAGGAGCTCGTCCCTCCCGCACCTCCTCCGTGCCCGGCGGGTCCCGCTCTACTCCCCGGGCTCTCTGGCTCGCAAGGCCGCTGCGGGGAGGCTGACGGCAACACGGGCCGTACGGGCTAAGAAATGGAAAGGCCGCAACGGTCTCCGGAGGCTCTGGACTGCTTCTTCCAGCCAGAACAGGGCCACCACGGGCCATGCGGTCAGCTCAAAGACAAGCCCTTGCTGTGACAGGGGCCCGAGCAGCGCGCGGCGGAGCCCAGCCTGCACTCACGCGAGTCCACGCTGGACGCGCTGCCCGCAGGCTCCACCGTCACCTCATACAGGTAGTAGCCGTGGAGCAGCTGCCTTTCCTGCGTGTAAATCCTGAGCGCCTGGAAGCGGAAGTCCCCCAGCACACCTGCGAGGGTGGGTGAGAGGCGTCACGCGCAAGCCGGGGTGGGGGGCTTTGCGTGGAAGGCAGGAGCACCCAAGCCTGTGCTCACGCCTGCAGCCCTCAAGAAGGCGCAGGCACCCGACACGTCTCCCTCCACACGAGCCCCGCGAGTTAAAAGGTCTGAGTGAGGAGGTCAGGATCCCCCACATCCCGGGGAGAACTGCTCAAGGAAATCCATGTTCAGCGAGGACGCCAAGCCGGCCATCGGGCCTCCCCCCAAAATCCAACACCTGGCTACGGTTCAACCACTCCCGGGTATTTCCTGTTACTCTCCCTTTAAAATCCCGTCAGAGCCTAAGAGTGATTTAGGAGGCCCATCCTGGTGCTCACAGTCAGCCCCCAGCCTTGCTGGCCGCCCGTGCCGGGACCCGAGGCCCAGCGGCCACAGGTTGTGTCCTCCTGGTCTGGCCCCAGGAGGCGCAGGCATTCCACAAAGAGGATTTCACCCAACTCTGCCCTGCGCCCCAAAAGCAAAACCTCCAGACCACGCTGGAGGCTGTGATGAGACACGAAAGTGCCTTTCATGACAGGCAAGGGGGTCAAGCTGTCGTGTCCTCGCACTACGCTGCCGCCCACGTGAAAGCCGGTGTGGGGGGAGCATGTCACGCTCCGGGAGCCCTTCCCAGGCCTGTGACGTGCAGGGCGGCAGGTGAAACAAGGTCTCACGAGGTCACAGTCAGTCTTGTCTGCGCCCCGACTGGAAATACCCTATTTGTTTCCGCTGCCAGACCTGCGGGTGGGAGCACAAGTCCGCGCTGGAGCCGCCCTCCCAGAGCCACTCTCCGAGCGAGCAGACCACAGCGGGCGGCCTCTGCTCCCATCCGCACTCCGTACCTACCGGCGCGGGGGTGAGCGTTCCTCTTTGCGCCCCAGGGGGCAGGAGTCTGCTCGCTTCCCCGTTACTCGTAGCCAGAGTTGCTGCTTCTTCCCCGAGGGGCTGCGGTGGTCTCTCGTGGCCTCTTAACAAGGGGTTAACACAGGGTGCGCCCACACAGTGAAACACAGATGCACCTGGCTGCCGAGTCACACCCTGCACCCGACAACACCCCAGGGAGACGCCACCTTGAGCGCCGACTTGGCCCGAGTCCAGACACGCGGGACCTGACGCCGGGACCGGGGCAGCGGCGGGAGGGCACTGGCCGTCCTCACATCGCAGGTCACACCCGGCTGTCGACCCGGCTGTCAATGGGGCAAGGGCAGCAGCGCCAGGTCCTCGAAGGCCACCCGCTGCTGCGAACTCCAAGAGCCGTTCCAGCACGGCCCGGGCTCCGTCTTGGCAGAGCTGCACGTCCGACCGCAGCCCACACGGAGCCCCAGCCTTGCGGAGAGGGCCGAGGGGCCGGGGCCACACGTGGCGGACCGTGCGAAAGCCTCTGTGTGGGCGTGCGCGCCGTGGCCGCGGGACACCTCCGGGAGGGCGGGCGGCCGCGGGAGCAGCGCCACAGGCCGCTGGTGGGGGAGGCAACGGACTTACCGAAGAAGTCGAATGAGAACGGGTCCCTGCCGCCAAAAAATTCCCTGAAGACGTCATCCGGGTTACGGAATGTGAAGCCAAACTCAAACGGGCTGTCGAAGTGGCTTCCTCCTGCACAAGCAAGCAGAGTTTACGAATCGCCTCGTGAACGCCGCGTTTCCAGGCAACTGCCTGACGACGGGGCGTCACGGGAAGCTCGCCAAAAAAAAAAAAAAGATTTTGTAAACCCGAGTGTCTAAAACCAAAGACGAGGCCAATCTTGACGGAAGCTGTAAATCCTGAACTCCGTGTCTGCGCCCAGCAGGCTCCTGGACAGCTTCTCAACATTCCCGCTCGCTAAGTTTACACGACCCGAGCGCAGCACGGTCGCCGGCGGACCTAGGGCCGGGGCGGGCGCCCACCCCCAGGACCCACGGAGGCGGCGGCGGGACGGGCCACTGCAGGCCGTCCACGCAAGCACCCGCCCAGGGCTTGCCATGAGGCGCATGCTCGAGGTTTTTGAGCTAAATGTCTCCTCGTCCCCCAGGAGGTGCCGGCACTAGGCGGGAATGGACCTTCAGGCACAGCCTCTCCACGAGTCGTTGCAGGAAGGTCGTGACGCCTATGTAAAGCCCGTCACCGGCGGCATTCTGGTTTCACAAAAGTGCTACTACCTCCTCACGCCCCCAACGTGCCGTGCCCTCCCCACACAGCCCCCCGGAGGGCCCGCCCCGCCCGGCAGCGCCGCGCACACACCTCCGCCTCCGCCGTTCAGGCCCTCCTTGCCGTACTTGTCATAGATGTCCCGCTTCTTAGCTACGAACAGAAGGAGAAAGGTCAGGAAAGACCCAAGTTCTTGCCCCCTTAAAGCTCATTTCCCAAGTTGCGAGCCGAAGAACCGGCCGCGGCACCCCTGGACTCCGAGGAGTCAGGCCGGCACACCCACGGGGAGGCGGCGAAGCCCGGGCACCTCGCCCCTGCGGAGCGCAGCAGCTCTCCGAGCCTGGCGACCAGACACAGAGCAGCTCACCGGCACCCAATGCACATCACGCAGGCAGCGGGAAATGCGTTTCCTGCTCCAAAGCCCCCGGGGCGAGGTCTGCGGAAGGGGAGGGCGCGGGTTGAGCAGACCTAGGGCCTGGCCCGCCGGGAGGCGCCATCGCCTCTGACCCTCCGGAGGCCGGGGCTGCACCGCGGCTGCTCAGAGGCTCCTGACACACCCAGCGCCTGACACGGCCCCACAAGGCCTCATGTGGTGAGAGACGGGGGTCGTGGACCTGTGAAGGGGGACCCCAGCAGCCCAACTGGGGCTACTGTTCCAGGAGCACCTGGAAAATCGAAAACTTAAAAAAAGAACCGGCCTCTTGGGGGCGTGTGACCCCATGAGCTCAGACGGCTTCCTCGCACGCTCTGCAGCCCAGAGCTGGGCCGCCGGCAGACAGGTGACCAGGCCCACGGCGCGGTGCCAGTCCAGCCGGAAAACCTCACCGATGGCCCAAGGCAGGGACGCCCGCTCAGAGGCCAGCACGGGACGGGCTTCGTCCGCAGCCGGCGAGCAGGGGGCAGAGGTGAGGCAAGAGAGGGCGGCCGCAACCCTGCAGCAGGGGTGGCCATCGGCTCTCACCCCAGGGTCACAAATGTCCTCAACATCGGCCTAACCCAGAGAGACACAGCACAGCGAGCGTCCTGGCGCCGCGTCTGACCTTCCCGGTGCCCGTGCCTCGGCCCTGCTTCTCGGCCAGGGCCGTCCACAGCTCCCAGTTTCCCAGCAAGGTCCACCCTGCTCTCTCCATCCCAGGCCCAGCACGCCCGTCTCCTCCGCCCCAGGAGGCTGCTGGCTGCCCCAGCCCACAGTGGCCCTTCCCCGAGTGCCCGCCCTGGGGCGGGAGAACCTGCCGTCGGCCAACAGGCTTCATTCCCTGTTTCCTGAGATGAAGCGAGTCCTTTCCAGCGCCAGAGCCAACCCACTCGCCACCTGCTGAAGCAGGACCACGGGTCCATCCCGCAGGGGCCCTGTCCTTGAGGAAAGGCCCCCCTCAGCCAGCCTAACCCAAGCCGCCGCGCTGCAGAGGCCGACTCACCGTCTGATAGCACCTCGTAAGCCTCAGCTACTTGTTTGAATTTTCTCTCTGCTTCTTCTTTATTGTCAGGGTTTTTATCTGGGTGCCACTTCAGCGCAAGCTTCCGGTACCTGGAAGAGAGGAAGGAGGGTGCTGAGCACACCCCGACCCCACACCGTAGGCACCACCTAGGAGCACAGCATCAGCCACCTAGAGACGGAAAAGCCCATGTGTCTGCGAGGTGGCGGGGGCTCCCGGGCCAGGGCTAAGTGCACGCAAAGAAGGGCGCGGTGGCCGAGTAGGCCTCGCGGGAGTCTCGGTGGTTTCAGACTCAGGTGCCTGGTCCTGTGTCCTCACCCCCGGACGGAGTTTCTCACAACTGAGCCCTTGAGTGACAGTGAGGCCCCCGGCCCAAAGAGCCAACCCCCCCAGCGCCTCCCACGAAGCCGCCCCGGCTCCCAGGCCCCAAGGAAGGCAACGGTCACATGCTCTTAGAGAGAGAGCAGAACACACAGCACCTCCTCTAAACAGCAACACACAAGCAGTTAGACGGGCATGTGCTGCAGAGGGACGGGTGGGCCCCCCCAGGCCCCCCCAAGTCAGGCTAGCCAGAGCACCCCGCAACAGGCGCCACGGCGCTGCGGTAAGCCTGCGCGGGGCGCTCTAACCGCAGCGCTCTCTCCAAGCCCCTAGACCTAACGCGCCCGCCCCGCCGAGCCGGAGCCCGCTCCCAGGCAGGCCCGACTGCGTCACCGTGGCCCGGACGCGCCTTCGGAAGGCTGCGCGGAAGCCCAGCAGGAGAGAGCCGGTCCGCGCCAGGACGCGGGTGAAAGGAGGAAATGCGAGCGAGCCCAGCCGCCTCGATGCCCAGCTTCTGGAAAAGACGCTGGCGGTTTCAGAAACCCAAGACGTGGCGTCAAGTGCCGCGGTTTCATGCTGGCCTCCAGCCCAGGCCCGGCCCCAGCGGCCCCAGGGGGAGGGGGCTGCGCAGCCAGCAGGGGCAGGACCACGGGCGTGCCGGGCAGGGAGCAGCACGCCCGTCCGGGCCCAGGCAAGGGTGTGCAAGGACTGCCCACAGCAGGGCCTGCCGGGCCACAGCCTGCTCACGCGGTGCCGGGGTTGGCCCTCGTCTACGTCGGCACCCACTGGGGAAACTCAGCCTCTTCCAAGGGAACAGCACATCTGAGCTCCCGCTTCAGAGTCACCAGGAGACACAGCCACGGGAAGGCAGACCCCTCCTGAAGGCCCCCAGCAGCGAGCACGCAGCGCCCGATGCCGTGGCCAATGTGCCCCGCGCGCTTCCCGGCCGTGGGTGGGGATGCTCAAACCCGGCCCACGGGTGACAAAACCCAGAGGCACATCCTTGGCCTGCCCGGTCATGCCTGAGCAGGTTGCGCCCACTCAGTCTCGCAGCCGAGGCCGTCCAGCTGCTGCTGCCAGTCTGCCCCCAGCCGAGGACTTGGTCGGCACCCTCAGGCGAACCATCCTTCCTGCTGCTCCCTCCTCTGCACCTGCAGGCCCCACCGCCCGGCCGCGTGCCCTCTCTCTGCACACGCCGGGCCCACCTTCCAGCTCCTGCGGACGTGCTGACTAGCAGCGCCGCTCTGAGCAGCCGCGCAGCCCAGCCGGGCTGCCCCCACGAGTCACTGCAAGTCGACGAACCGCCCAGCTCCCGCTCCCAGCCGCAGCAGAGGCTGCCCCGTGGCCAAGATGCAGGCAGAAGGGGCAGCGGCCTGACAGCAGCTGCACTGGCACAGGCGGGACAGTCCAAGTGGACGCCCCAGTCAAGGTGCCCCCCCCCCAGCACACCGGCCAATGCCACCTCAAGTTCACTGCCCACGTGCCGCGGGGCCCACCTTCCCCCTCAGCGTGGCTCTGGCCCCTGCAGCAGCAACGGCACCAGAGCCCCAAGGCAAAGCAACAGGGACCCGACTGGCCGGTCGATCCCCAAACGACCAGTGACGGGTGGGCCCGGGCAGGTCACGGGGGCTGATGGCCTCTCCCGTCTCGAGTTCACGTTAACCGGCGACGGCCACAGCCTGCGGCGCTGAGTCACCAGCCAGACACCGGCCGGCTCGCGGCAGCACCGCACACGCAGAGACTTACGCCTTCTTGATGTCCTCGGGTGAGGCCTGCCTCTGCACGCCCAGAACTTCGTAGTAGTCCACCATGGTCGCAGGCTGCTGGGGCGAGTCCTGCAATGACAAGTCACGGTCAGCAGCCGCCTGCCAGGGGTGAGGGCCAAGCGGGGTGGGCACGGGGGCGGGGCAGCTCACCTCAGCACTAACCACTAGCCCGTCGGGCTGGGGCCTGTCCAGGAACTGATTCCAAGACTCGTGCCCTCACGCCCTTCTTGATACAGAGCAAGTGGCCCTGAAGCGGCCTAATAATAGTCCACGCTAAATAAAACTGACAGGTGACTGTGAGGCAGAGACTCGCTGCCCACTTGACCACCAGCTGACAGCCCCACTGTGAGGATCCTGTTTCTCGGGGTGCTCCGGTCAGCGTCCCTGCCCCTTGGCGCGCTCCTGCCAGGCATTGGGCAAGACTGTGGGCCACTGGCATGGACGCTCCACGCCGGCCCCGAGGTCTGCGTGGGGGCCACGCGGACACCCCAGCGGTAGCTCAGCAGGACCAGCAGGGCCTGCGCACGTCCCGGGAAGGGACGGGAACGCCTGGGTGCAGGCCGGCTTCAAGCCCATCTCCACCCGCCAGAGGCAGCGCGGCGGCCCTTCCGTCCCGCCAGCGGGAAGCCGCCTGCCGATGCGGCCGCCCGGGCCGCGGAGAGTGGACCGGCCCCCCTGCGGCGGGTGAGGGCCCCGCTGTGCAGGCCGCTGGGGAAAGCGGCCCTATTTCCACCCCCAGGAGGCGGCCCGCTCCGGACCCTACGGGAGCGCCACGAGCTGCGGCCCGCGTGGGATGCCTGAGGACGCGCCTCCAAAGGGAACCAGCCACGTCGCTTTAGAAGCCGGAGACCAAAACGCCGCCCACGCCAGCCCCCCCGGCCCCGCGCAGAACCGCAGCCCCCCGCGACACCCCGCGTCGGATTGTCACATCCAACCGCTCTGCCCAGCACAGGCGGCCTCACGGACGCCACGGCCAGGAGGGACGCCTCCCCCCACCCAGAGCGCGGCTGCGTCACCTACCCCGTGAGTGCCCGGGAAGCCGGGGCCGAGGCTGCGCCCACAACGCAAGCACCGTCCTGCAGCGGCCCGGGCCGAGCGGGGCTCTCTGGACACCACCGAGGGCTGCCGACCCGCGGGCACGGCCCAGCCGGGACCAGGGCAGACCCCTCCTCGCCCCGCCCCCACAGCAGGCCTTCCCCTAGCACCCACTCTCCACGACAGGGCTCCACAGACACGGACACCAGGGCCCCGGCGTGCCCGTGGCACCTCAGCCCCTCCCCGCTTCGCTCCAGCCGGCAGCTGCACCCCAAGGGCCGCAGGACCCGCCTCCCACAGCCCAGGGGCTGACACCGGCAGGCGCGGCCACACACAGCACGGCCTCCACGCCGGCTGCGCCCCCACCCCAGCTCCTGGGGCGGGGCGGGGGGCCGGGTGAGATGACCCGCTGGGGCAGGAAAGGTGCAAGGTGAGCCGAGGCCCACGTCCCGCGAGAGGGGGAAGCTGGCGGACAGGCAAGCCCGGCTGGGCACGGGGGCGACGGGAGGGAGTCCAGCGGCGGCTCCACACACACCGCAACCGCGGTGACCTCTGCCGCCCGCAGGACGAAAGGCACGAAGCGCAGCCGGCCCGAGGCTCTCAAAAGACGGGGGACGGCGCCCACCGGGGGAGGGAGACCCACAGCCTCCCCAGCCCAGCGTGGCTCGGGAGGGAGCCCCCCGCGGCTCCAGGGGGAAGACGGCCCTTCGGCGCCCCAGATCGGGGCCTCCGCGGCGCAACCAGCGTCCGCAGCGCCAGCACCCACCGCACAGGAGCATGGCAACGGCCGCTCCGGGCCCCGCTGCAGCACCCCGGCTGCCCCCCGGCCTGCCGCACAGCTGCCCGCCACCACCGCGGCCGGCTCGCAGCCACTCCTCCCGCGCCAGGTGACCGCGGCCCGCGTCTCCTCACAGGTCCGCCGGAGAACGAGGCTGGGTCCCACCGAGCGGCCACCAGAGCCCAGCACGAAGCTCTGGGGACAGCCCAAAAGAACGAGGCCGCAGCATCGGCGTGTCAGCTCTCCCAGCCAACACCCCAGGAACACGGCTGAGCCCGAGCTCCGAGTCTGGGTCATTGCCTCACCTCCGCGCTGCCCCCACGAGCCACCCGGGGCCCTCCAGGCAGGGAAGTTCACGGGGTGCCCCACTGGTTTCACCTGCCACGCTGGCCTCCGGCTCCGGCCCCCCGACACCTGACTGCGATCGTCCTGTCACCGCGCTTCCTCCCGGCGAACGGGGAGGTGGCGCCGAGGTCCGGGTCTCCCATCTACTCCGCCAGCCTTGGGGCAGCTGAGCAGGAAACAGACGCGCTGGCCAACCCCAGACGGCTGAGCGAGGGCAGTGCTGGGTCGACGGGGCACTGACCACGACGTGAGCACCACTCCCTGCAGGGGGGAGGCTGTCGCCTCAGACACCTCAACAGCACGTGGCAGCGACGCCTGAAGGGGTGACCCTGACTTCTGAATGACATACAGTGTCGGAAACCAAACCACCCCAATAAAAAAGCGAACAGGGCCTCCCCGGTGGCGCAGCGGTTGAGCGCTGGGTTGCGAAGCTGCCCGCGGCCTCTGCAGCGCCGGTTCGATCCCCGGCTGCTCCCCGGCCACCCGAGGAGGGTCCCACATGGCGCACAGACCTCTCCTGCCGCCCGCTGCTCCCCTCAGCAGTGTGCTTCGGTCCTTCTGCCTGCTCTGCTCCCCGCTCTGGCTCTGGTGAATCCTCTCACCCTCCCGCGCTCCTGAGTGTGCCCAGTGCTTGTGTGAATAAATAAATGAATGTTTAAAAAAAATGAACAAAGGAGACCCAAAACTTTAAAAAAGGGCCACAGCAAGTCACACGAGGGACTCCCATGTGGGGGTGCGGCCTCAGGACAGGAGGCGCGACAGTGGAGAACCGTCTTCCCACCAGCAGAGGGCCTAGGGCGCTTGACTGTGAACAGAAGGCTCTAGGCAGTGGCGGACAGGAGCCGGGTGCATTGAAAGCTCACTTACGAAGCTTCAGGTAGAGGCACCCTGAAGACAGGCAGCTTAAGTCGGGGGTGACGGGCGCCTCCTTGGTGGCGCAGGGGTTAATTAAGTCTCAGCCTTGGGGCCTCCCCTAGTGGCTGCTGGTGAGGCTCCCACAAAAACAAAAACAACAAAGCAAATTAAGTCTCAGCCTGTGAAGCTGTCCGCAGCCACTGCAGCCTGAGTTCGACTCCTGGCCAGGGAGCTATCCACAGGATGCAGCAGACCTCTCCTGTCTCCCGCTGCTCCCCTCAGCAGTGGGTTTCAGTGGATCCCCCTGTTCTGCTCCCCGCTCTGTCTCTGGGGAGTCCTCTCACCCCCACACCTCTGGCCTGCGCCCCAGCTCTTCTGTGAGTAAATAAATAAAATAAATCTAAAGGTCAGGTGTCCAATCACCGCGCGGCGAGGACAGGGAAGAGCCGGGACAGCCAGGCCGGCCTGGGGCGGGCTGACCGCAACCGCCCAGTGCGGACGGAGCTGGAAGAGCAGAACCGCCTCCGAACTGCCTGCTGTTAGGGAAGAGACGGAATCACCACCTTTCATTCTTTCCACGGAGACGCGGTGCTGCCCCACGCCAGCCCCGCAGAGCAGACCCAGGCATGTCATGCGACCGCTGTGGAAAGCCCCGGTCAGCCTAGTCCCGCTGACCAAACCACCACCGCACCTCCTCCTCCAAACGCAGCGACCTTCGGCGTGAGGACTTTGAGAGCCAAGTCACGGAGGTCAGCGGCATCGAAGCTCACCTGAGCGCCAGAGAGGTAGACAAAATGTGCACACGCTGTGGGGGGCCTGCGGGGACGGGGGGACGCACAAGCCGCACAAGTGGAGCTGGCTCGGCAGCGCGGCCTCCTTGCTGCAGCTTGGGGACGGGATGCCCAGAACTGACTACTAAGGCACCCCTGAACGTGGGTGCGTTGGCCAGCAGGGCCGTGGTGACCACCTGCCACGTGCACGGCACCCCACACCCCCAGCGTGAGCACGGTCCCTGCCGATTCTTAAGAAGAACATTTAGAAGAATCCAGGACAGGCCTCCCCGGTGGCGCAGCAGCTGAGCACTGGGCTGCCCGCAGCCTCTGCAGCGCCGGTTCGATCCCGGCCACCAGAGGAGGGTCCCACATGGCGCACAGACCTCTCCTGCCGCCCGCTGCTCCCCTCAGCAGTGTCCTTCGGTCCTTCTGCCTGCTCTGCTCCCCGCTCTGGCTCTGGTGGATCCTCTCACCCTCCCGCGCTTCTGACTGTACCCAGCGCTTGTGTAAATAAATAAATAAATCCTTTAAAAAAAAAAAAAAAAAAAGAATCCAGGACAAGTCGCCAAAGCAGAGACTCTCGGTGCAGAGACCAGGCGCGAGGGCAGGTCTGCACCCCGACCCGCAGGCAGAGGCCCTGAAAGGCCCCGGCTCAGGCAGGCCATTCTGGGGAAAGCCTGGCGACAGGCCCCGCGCCCTCCTACGGGGAGGCCCTCCCTGGGGCAGAGGGACAGCCTGAGGATCCCGACTGGGCTGCTCACGCCCCTTGGGGTCAGCACCCGCCCCACCGCCACCCCCGCCAGAGCCGGGGAGCCCAGATCCCCTCTGGGGCGAGGGGCGGGGCTGGGAGGAAGCACTTTTGCGCAGGGGGAAGGCAGCGACCGCCTGTCTCGGGGACGTGACCCCGCAGTCTCCCCGCGCCCACTTCCGACCCGCTCCACCGCGGAGCAGCAGTGACCGCGGGCACGAGGGGCGCCAGGTCCAGCGGCATGTCAGGGTGAGCCGCAGGCAGCCGGCGGGGCACCCCAGGCGGCGCAAGGGGAGCACGCGCCCAGGGGTCCAAGGTCCCGCCAGGCCGCGACCCGCAGGGCTCACAGGCAGCTCAGGCGAGGGGGGACTCCGGCCGGGGCCGCCGTCCACTCCAGCGGGAATGCTCACCCGGCCCGGCAGGTCACACGAGCCAGACCTGCGGCAGCTCCCGAGCAGGGCCTCTGCCCCCCGCCGGGCTGCCCCCAGGAGCAGGTGGCCACCACGGGCGGCCAGGGACGGGGCTCTCTGGTCTCTGGGGCGCGCACGCTCCCAAGGTCGGGGCAGAGAAACACTGTTGCGTCAAGGTCAACCTCGGCCCGCACAGACCTGAGGCCCTCAGCGACCCGGGCTCCCCAGCACCCCGTCTCCAACCAGCGCCGAATCCCACCGTCTCTGCCCCGGACGCGTCCTCCGGCGACGGCGGGTCGTGGGGTGTCTGTCTCCCCTGCTGTGCTTCACCGGGCGCCTTTCAGCCACACCCCAGCCGAAGTGCAGAGCCCGGAAGCAGGGCGTGCAGCCCCATGGTGGGACCCGAGAGCCCCTAAGAGCAGGCGGGCCCAGGCCACTCCTCAAGTCTCAGACCTGCCTTCGCCCTGGGGAAACAGGCCGGGCCCAAGCCGATGTCCCACCCCCCCCAGGCTCCTGAACGTCACGCGAGCCAACCCCCTCCCGCGCCCACCCCCGCCGCCTGCTCCGAGACAGACGTGGCACAGCCAAGACTCGCAGAAGCAGCGCAGACTAAGGGCCCCACGGATGGGGCGCGGCAGACAGACATGACCCCTGGGGGACAAAGAGGGGCGACTGCAGTGGGCCTGGGGAAAGGCGGGAACTGAGCCACCCTCCACCGTCATCCGCAGGGCGGGGCAGGGCGAGCCTTCAGGGGCGGTGCCGAGCGTCCCGTTCTCCTCCAGGAAACCTTAGCTCCCGCCGGCCGACTATAAATAATGCACCAGGCCGGGCCTGGGCTAGCGGAGGCGCTCCGCGGGGAGCTGGCGCCAAAAGCCCAGGTTTCGTGCACAGTTCAACCGGCCCCTTCTAACTTCGTAGATGATGGCACTTCAGGGAACACTGGGAGACGGTCCTCGTGCCCAAGGGCTGTGCGTGCCCGAGGCGACGGGGACAAACACACCGCCCAGGGCCCCACAGCTCCCCGCCCCCGTCAAGCTCAGGCCCGCGTGTGGACACGCTGCCAGGGGCCTGAGATCACCTGACTCTCCACATCCCAACTCTCAGTCACCACGAGGCGTTCCCAGACGCGGGACACTCCCCGCCTCTCCCGAGTCTCCCTGCCTAAGAGCCTTGCGCAGGTTACTAAGATTGCTCCGTCCCTTGCGGGCCAGAGACAAGACCAAAATGGAGCTTTAAGGGGAACAATCGCCCACCTGCAGACGGCTACTCATTTTTCTTTAAATATTTGTGCATACAAGAACTGGGTGCAGGCCAGAGGTGCGGGGGATGAGAGGACTCCCCAGAGACAGAGCGGGGAGCAGAACAGGCAGATCCACTGAAACCCACTGCTGAGGGGAGCCGCGGGGAGACAGGAGAGGTCTGCCGCGCCGTGTGGGTAGCTCCCTGGCTGCCCGAGGATCGAACTCATGCTGCAGAGGCTGCAGACAGCTTCTTAGTGTTGTGCTTAAACCCTTGCACCACCACGGAGGCCTTGCCGCTCATTATTTAAGCAACATTTTTTTATTTATACAAGAACTGGGGTGCAGGCCAGAGCACGGGAGGGTGAGAGGATTCACCAGAGACAGAGCGGGGAGCAGAGCAGGCAGAGGGACTGAAAACACTGCTGAGGGGAGCAGCGGGGAGACAGGAGGGGTCTGCTGCGCCCTGTGGGCAGCTCCCTGGCCAGTATCGAACCGGCACTGCAGAGGCTGTGGACAGCTTCACAGCGCTGCGCTCAACCCGCTGTGCTACTGGGGAGGCCCTATTTAAGCAACAATTTAAGAGGCCCCGTGTCTACTAAAGGCGCGTTTCCTTGTCCTTAGTTTAAAAAATCAACAAGTTAAAATACTACTTCAAAGAGGGCCTCCCCGGTGGCGCAGCGGTTGAGTGCTGGGCTGTAGGCTGCCCGCAGCCTCTGCAGCGCCGGTTCATTCCCCAGGCGGCGCCGAGGGTCCCACAAAAAAACAAAAAACACTACTTCAATGAAACCAGTAAGAATTTTAAAGAATGGGCCTCCCCGGTGGTGCAGCGGTTGAGCGCTGGGTTGCGAAGCTGCCCGCGGCCTCTGCGGCGCCGGTTCGATCCCCGGCTGCTCCCCGGCCCCCGGAGGAGGGTCCCGCATGGCGCGCAGACCTCTCCTGCCGCCCACTGCTCCCCTCAGCAGTGTACCTCGGTCCTTCTGCCTGCTCCGCTCCCCGCTCTGGCTCATCCTCTCCCCCTCCTGTGCTCCTGACTGTACCCAGGGCTTGTATACATAAATAAATGAATCTTTTAAAAAAAAGAATTTCAAAGAAAACATTTTTTTCAGTGTTTATCTTGGGGCGTCAAGCTAATCTCCCGCGATACTGTTCGCTGTTCGCTTAACAAAATGGAAATCGAGCAGTTTCACAAGACACAGGAGACACCTCCAGGGACGGCTCCCGTCCTGTCACCTGCCGGCTTCTCAGGACGGCCTCGCAGAGGCGCGACTGTCACCCCGCGTCACCCACCATCCAGTCACAAATTCGCTCTTACCCCGGAGGAGCTGAGCGGGGGCGTCGTCCCCTCAGAACCCGGGAGGCCAGGCCAGGCCTGGACCAGCGTCACCACCTGCCGAGCAGGACCCTGAGCCGCGGCGGCATCCAGCCTCTCCCCCTGCAGAGCCCGGGATCGCAGCCCCTCACCGGGCTCGGGACGGGCACCGCAGGGCGCGGCGCTGTCGAGGCGGGGGGAGAACACGGGAGCGAGACGCCCTGCAGGCGGCGAGGCCCAGAGGCGGGGCGGCTCTGGGGCGCAGGGGCGGGGAGAAAGACCCCCCAGGCAGGACCCTGCAGCTGCCGGAGGCCCGCCGGGAGGGCTGCGGGCCCAAAGGGCTGGAAGACCCCCGGCCACAACCCCGGAGGACGCCCGGCCCGGCCCGCGGCTCCCGCCTCCCCCCGGAGCGAACCCCACCCGGAGCCCGCGGGCCGCCCGCCCGGAGCCCGCACCAGATGCGCGGGGCGCGAGCGCAGGGCCTCCCGGCGGCCCCGGTTCTCCCCCGGAGCGCAGCGCGGGGACCCGCCCCGCCGCCGGCACCCCGGGGCCAGCGCCGGGCCAGGACAGCGCGGCCCCCCGACCCCGGCGCGCACGGGAGGGGGCGCTCGCCCCGCGCAGGAGGCCCCGGAGCAGCGCCTCGGGCTCGGGCCCCGGGGACGCGGCGGCCGCACCGGCCGGGGCCGCGGGGCACAGCCGGGCGCACGGCCCCCGGGGGACCCTCGCCCGCACCCCGCCCCGGGAGCAGCCGCGCCCCTGCCCAGGACTGCCGGCCCCGGCCCCACCCGACCGCGGGGGCCTCCGCCCGCAGCCCGGCCCGGCCCGGCCCGGCCCGGCCCACTCCCGCCGGCCAGGCCCGTCCCCGGCTGGTCTCCCCGCGCCGGCCCCCCAAAGCCATTTTGCCGGCGCTCTCCGCCCCTGCCGTCGGGTCACCCCCAAACTGCCCCCGGCCCCTGGGCGCCCCCCCGGCGGCCGACCTCGGGAAGCGGGGGACACGCGGCGCCCCGCAGGCACCCGGCGGGCCGAGCAGCTCCCGAAGCCGGCGGCCGGGCCAGCGGGCCTGGCGGGGGCGACGCGGCGCCCACGAGGCTCCCGGCCCGGCCCGGCCCGGCCCGCGGACCCGGGACCCGACCCGCCGCCCCGACCCCGCCGCCCTGGACCCGCCGGCCCGGCCCGGCCGAGCAGATGCTGCCCCCCGGCCCCCGGCCCCGTGCACCCCGGACCCCCGGCCCCGCCGGCGCCCCGGGCTCCCCGCACCCCCGGCCCCCCGGGCTCCCCGCCCCCCCGGCCCCCGGCTCCCCCCGGCCCCCCCCGGCCCCGCCGCTCGCCGGCCCCGCCGCCCCCCCGGCCCCGCCGCCCGGGCCGCCCCAACGGCCCGCGGAGGACGCGCCGCCCGCCCCGCCCCGGCCCCGGCCCCGCGCGCTCACCCGGGACGGCGCCGGCTCGGCCTCGGCTCCGGCGGGCGGCGCTGGCGCGACTCGCCTCCTTTCTCCTTCTCGGCAACAAACAGGAAGCGCGTCACGCGCGCCCACGTCGCTTCCGCCCGGCCCTGACGCCGCGCGTGCGCAGCCGCCCCGCCCGCCTTCCCGAAGCTTCGCGCGCGCGGGGGGCGGGGCGCGCGCTCCGCAGGTCCCGGCCCCGCCCCCCGGAAGAGACGCCGCGGGCGGCCGCGCCCGCCCCCCGCCCCCCGCCCCCCGCCCCGGCCGCGCCCGCCCCGCCCCCCGCGCGCGCGGGCCGCCGTGGGGTCGCCCCAGCGGCCGCCCCCCGGGAACGCGCCGCCCGCAGCGCGGGCCCCCGGAGCCGCCCCCCCGCCGGCCGCCCGTCCCGCCTTTTTTGTGCCGAGAGGACGGGGGCGCGGGCGGAGGGGCTCCCCGAGACGGCGGGGGCGGACGCGGGAGCCCCGAGACGCGAGCCCGCCGCGCCGGGGGGGCGCTGGGGGCGCCGGGAACGCGCTCGGGCGGGGCCTGGGGGCGGCCGGGAGCGGGGCGGCCCGACGGCCCCCGGAACCCGCGGCGGGGGGCGAGCCCGGGCCCGGGCGGGGGGGCGGGGCGGGGCCGAGAGCCCGACGGGAGCGCGGAGCCGCCGGGCCCCCCGCGCCCCCGCGCCCCCGGCCCGGACCGCGCGCCGGCCGAGCTGCGCCCCGGCTCGCGGGGCCGTGGTGGTCGCCGGGGCCGTGGGGGTCGCCGGGGCCGCGGTGGTCGCCGGGCGCGTGTGCGGTGCCCGCGGGCGGGGGGGCGCGGGGCCGGGCCCTTCCCGCCCCCCCGCGCGGCGCGTCCAGCCCGGGGCGGCCGCGCGGGTCGGGCCGGGAGCTGCGGGCCGGGCCGGGGGTGGCGGACGGCAGAGCCGGGGCGCCCCCAGCCGCGGCCAGGGGGGCCCGGCCGGCCCCCCCTCCCCGGCGCCGCAGGGCCCCGCAAGGGCCGGCCCGGGGCCCCGAGGCTTCCGCCGTGTCCGAAACCCGCGGACTCGCTTCCCCGCCGGAGGCCCGCGGCCCTCGGAAGGCGCAGCCGGGCCCCGGCCCCGCGTCCGCAGGCTCAGCTGCAGCCTGGACGGGCGTCCGCGGGGGGAGGCCGGCTGGACGCGGCGCCTCCCTGCGGGGACAGCGGGGCAGAAGCCGCCGGGGCCGGGGCCCAGCCTCCCCCGGCAGGGCCTGCCGCGCCCCGCGCCCCGGGCGGCACCGCCGGGGGTCAGCGCCCCGCTCGGGAGAGGCCGGCGGCGCCGGGCGGGGCCCCGTTCTCTCAGAGCCTGTTTTTTTCTAAATACGTGTCGGTGCACCCGGGAGCCGCGCAGGCCGGAGGCGGGGTCGGAGGAGTCCCCAGAGCCGGAGCGGGGGGCGGAGCGGGCGGAGGACACTGCGGGGGGCGCGGGCGCAGGCGGGTCTGCCGAGCGGGGGGCTCCAGGCCCCACGCGAGAGCTCGCGGCGGTGAGCGGGTGCGGGCAGGAGAGCTGGGAAGGAGGCGCCGCGGAGCAGAACCGGCCCGGGCGCTGCGGGCGGGCGGGGGCGCGGGCGGGGGCGAGCACAGCCCCCCACCCGCTGCAGGAAGGAACGGCGCCCCTCAGGCGCCAGCGCCCAGGTCCGCGAGCTCGGACCCGGCCGGCGCAGGCGGCCGGCGCTGTGGCCTCAGGAGCGCAGCCCCGAGGGCAAGACGCGGAGAGGAGGCCTCGGGGAGTCTCCGGCCCTGTCAGGTGCTGCACCGTCGCCCCGTCCGCAGCCAACAGGCCGCCCGGGAGGAGCGAGCCCTCCGGAGAGAGGACGGTGCGGGGCAGCCTGGGCCCCGGCGCGGGGCACGGCCCTCCTGCCCGCCCGCGCGGGGGCTTCTCCTGGCCAGCTCCCCCTCCAGGGCCGCCTCCTGCCCGCCCGCGGCCTGCGCTGCGCCGCCGGGTTCTCCCCACGGCCCCTGGGGCAGCCGCCCCCTCGGCGTCCGTGCAGGCGGCCTTTCCCCGCCCGGGGCCTCAGCCGGCGTCTCCCCCAGGAGAAGCTCGCCGGGGCCTCGCCGGCCGCGGGGAGGGGGCGCTGGGGAGACCTTCGCGAGTGACCGCGAGGACCCCGCTCTCCCAAGCCAGCGCCTCCAAGCACACGGCACTCTCGTCCCAGACTTGCCCGCCTCCTGCTGCTGCTTTCCTGTGGGTCCCCCAGGAGGTGCCGAAGCTTCGGGCGGCGGCAGCCCCCGGGGGTCAGCCCTGGAAGGCTGGGCGCTTGCCCGTGCCGGGAGAGGTGACTGGGTGCTTCACGGGAGAGCGTCACCGGGCGGGGAGAGGGCGCCCCCGATCCCCCAAACGGCCGGCTGTGCTTCCCGCCACCAGCCGCCGAGACAAGACTGAGCTGCCGTGCGGGCGGCACCACACGGAGGGCGGCGGCGGAGCAGGCCACACGCGCCGGACGCTGCGAGGGCCACGGCGCGGCCTGCCATGGACGGGCGGCGGCCCGCGTGCCGGCACAGGCCGGAGGCCGGAGCGGACGGGGCGCGAAGCCGAGCCGGCGCGCGCGTCCGGGTCTCGGGCCAGCGCGGGTGCGCGTCCAGGGCGCCCGGGGGCGGGTCCGCTCACCCTGCCGGCGCCTTGGCGTGGAGACGGCGTCAGGCCCCTGCCCGGGCCCTGGGGCCGCGCCGTCCTGTCCTCGGGAGCTCCGGGAGGGCCCGGTGGCCGCGGGAGGGGCTGCGTTCCCCGCCCGCCCGGGCATCCGAGGGCAGAGCTGCGGGGCCGATGGCGGCGAGAAGGCCGGGAGCGCCGCGCGGAGCCACGATGCTCTGGGGCGCGAGCCGGGCGCGGGAAGGGGCTTCGGCACCGTCGCGGTGGGGCCCGCGAGGGGAAGAAGAGAGTCTCCAAATCCCGCGCCGGGAGTCGCCCCTCCCCTCCCGGGGCCGTGTCCAGCCCCACAGGGGTGGCCCAGAGCAGGGCCGCGGGGCCCGCAGCCGGCCGGTCTCGGCCCGCCCCGGCGGGACCCGCGGCGGAGGGTGAGAACAGACAAGTCTGGGAGGAAAAGAGCAACATCAAAACCACCCTAACCGCGGCCCCGTCCCCTGCCCCGGGCTCACCCCCGTGGGTCCCGGCCCGTCCGGGACCAGGAAGCCGGGGTGGCCTGGCCACAGGCCTCTGCTCCTGGGCTCCCCGGCTCCTCCCGCCCCTCCCTCCTTCCCCGCCTCCCCCCGGCTTCTCCTCCCCGCTCAGCTCACCCTCCTTGGGTGGGGCGGGGACCTGGAACCCACTTTCCCCGGGCACCCCCATTTCAAAACCTTCCTTCCGGCTGCGCACGCTGAGCCTACCCAGCTCTCCCCACTGGGGGTCGTGCCCACTGCCCACGCCAGAGTGGACACCGCTGCCCGCCGGTGCCCGGCTCCAGACCCAGCCCTGGGGGGTCCCCCTGGCGTGCGAGGCCCGCGCGGAGCCGGGGTGCGCCCAGGCAGCTGGAGCTCCCCGGAAGGAGGGGCTCCTAGGTGGGGACTAGAGTGTGGGGGAAGGAACACCCCAGAAGAGCCTCGAGCGAGACTCGGAGCGGAGTGAACGGCGAAGGGCCTGGGTGGCGGGAGAGGATTCCAGACTGACACCAGACGTGCCAGCCAGCCAGACACAGGCGCCGGCCTCGCGTGGCCCCGCGGCGGGCGGGGAGGAAGGGGGCCGCCAGGCTCCTGGGCCCAGAGGAGGCGGCTTCGGCTTTGCCAAGGAGGAGGCCGGGCTCGGGCAGGTGTGGGGAGCGGGGGCCAGGCGCTCTGTGCCCGGCGGGCTCGCAGGCGCCCAGTGGACACGGCGGGCGGCGCGAGTCCTTCCTCCCCAGGCTGACCGTGGAGGGCGGCTGCCCCTGTCCTGCGGGGGGACTCACCCCTCCCAAGCCGGGGAGGTCCGGCGGGAAGCCCCGAGGGCTCCAGCTCTCCTTTAAATGACACACTTGGCTTCTGGCTCTTTCGTTTTCTTCCTGCTGCTGAAATGTGCCTGTGGGCCGAGGCTGTGTGTGGTCAGCCGGAGGGTCCGGGGGCCCCAGCAGGCCCCTGGACCGCTCTCCCCAGGCCGGGGCCGCCTCTGCTACTCACAGCTGACACCCCACAACCCCAGGCCGGGCCGCCTCTGCTACTCACAGCTGACACCCCACAACCGGAGCAGGAAGTGCTGCTAGTCCCAAGACGACGGCGCGAGCTAGAAACTGTAACCGGGGCTGAAGCCAAGACCGGGCAGGTGGCGCCCCGGGGAGGGTGTGGTGAGGGCGGAGCGCAGAATGGGGGGGCTCCAGTGAGAACTCTGAGGGCCGTGGGGCCTCCCGGGTGCGCAGGGTTAAAGACACAGCACTATCAAGTTCTCTCCAGCCCCCGCAGCGCGAGTTCAATCCCCGGCCAGCCGGAAAGTTACCCACAGGGCGCAGCAGCCTCTCCAGTCTCCCCGCGGCTCCCCTCAGCAGTGGATTCCAGTGGATCCGCCTGTTCTGCTCCCCGCTCTCTCTGGGGAGTCCTCTCACCCCCGCACCTCCGGCCTGCACCCCAGCTCTTGCATGCGTAAATAAATAAATACTAAAAACAAAACCAAACCGAGTGGTCCTACAATGGTGCACGCAGGTGAAGAGCCCAGCGACCGATAAGCCATTTGGACAGTGTCCTCGGCCAGCTTTAGTGCCCCTTGCTGCCCCGGATCAAAACGAAAGTGACAGCAGGGGCCACCCCCGCCCCCAGCAGCACCCCCGCCCCCGCCCGCCCTGGAGCAGCGCGACGCGTGCAAAGTCAAGCCGTTGGAATGTGCCGTTCTGTGAGGTCACAGCTGATGGTCAAAGTCTGTGCAATAAATTTGCCATTTCATACGTTAAAAACAGCCAAACGTCAGCCATCGCATCTGGCTCAACCTGGTGCAAAGACTAAAGTTCAAAGATGATTTAACGCCCAACTTGAAGTACCACTTTGTAACACGTCATGGACCAGGGCAAGGCCGCCGGCCCCAGCTCCCGGCGCAGAGCCCCCGCCCCACCCTGCCCGCACCCCCTGCGAAGCCTTCAGAGCCCTGCAGGGTC